TTTGGTAGAGACAGGGTTTCACCATGTTGCCCAGGCTGGGGGCCTCCTGGATTTTTATCTGATAAGTATGGCAACCTTAACCATGCCCCTCTAAATGAACTTTGAGACACTGAAGAATAAAAAAATGCTGTTGTAGCCACAGGGACTTGGGGACTTCATGGGGGTCTTAAAACCTGACATAGGATGTACACCATTGCGTGGAGGTCGGGATTTATCTTCGGGAAGGGTCTACGCATTGATCAGGTTTCTCAGGGGAACCCACTGGCCACGCAAATGAAGAAAGATGTCCATTCACCATCAGCCAGAACGGGAGGCTGCGCAGGAAACTCTCACACTTTCGTCAACCTTCTGGTCCTGTCTGCTGCTGATCTCCAGCCCCATGTGGCCCGTACTGGTACTGTCTACCCCCCGCTGCCTCTGACACCCTGCCTAGCCTCCCTAACCCGGGCCCTGGCCTGCCAGCCCCAGGGCTCATCTCCCGGCATTAGCACACGCTGCTCCACTAGCTGGGATGCTCCTCCCTCAGACCCCTGCCGGACTGGTTGCTTCTCAGCCCTGGGGTCTCTGCCAATGTACCCTTACTCAGAGGAAACTCCCTTGTCTGCCCCTTCTACACTATCCCCTCTTGCCAGTTAACCTTGACCCCATTGCCCTGTTTTGTTTTCTTTGCAGCACCTTTTGTAGCTGGATCATCCACTGTACTGACCGGTGTATTTGAGTCTCTATTGGCCACTCAATGCACCAGAATATACATTCCACGTGGGCGGGGCCTCATCTGTCCTGCTGGCCCCGGATCCCCGTGTCTTGCCCACTGCAGCTTCTCATATGCATTTGTTGTGTGAAGAGTTTCCATTTTATGGATGAGTTGATTTGATGGTTCTCAGAACTTGCTAATAACTACTGACTCTCAGAGTGGCTACCACGTGCTGAGCTCTAGCCTAAAGAGCCTTATGCATATTATTCATGTAATTTTTATCATCCCCATTCTACAGATGAGGAAACTGAGGGCCAGAGAGGTCATGGTCACACAGCTGCTAAGTGGCAGAGCTGGGATGTGAACTTAGGCAGTTTGGTTCCAGAGTCCACGTACTCGAAATTTAGTTCATCCTGTGCTAACAACACTACCCAATTGTCAACAAGACCTCATCTGTGCAGGGCTTTGTGCCTGGAACTGAGAGGTGAAAGCAGGGATCAGACTGGCTCTTGGTGGGAACTAGAAGACACACATACACGCACGCACGCACGCACGCACGCACACACACACACACACACATGCAGGGCAGGCCTTTCGAGGGGTCAGCTGAGAGGGCAGGAATTCCACAGGGAGGTGAAGGCTAGTGGTTGATGGGCGCCAGGGGTCTTACTTTTCTTGTGGCTGTAGAACTTGTCCTCAGAACCATCCTTGGACTTCTTAATGATCAGTTTCCCAGACTCAACGTCGACTTTGAGCTGCATTTTCTGAGGAATCCCCAGAGACTCTGACTTCACCTTGGAAGGGAAAGAGATGTGTCACTCACCGATTTTCTGCCTGGGCTTCTGCAAGGCTCCCGCGTGAGCCCCTTGTCTACGTGGCTGGACAACCCTTGGTGGGCGTCCTTCATGGGGCCATGGGGCTTCTCTTGTTGCAGCGGCGCATATGTGCATTTCCACAGCCGTCTCCCGGGAATCACAGAGACTTTCGGGGTGTCCCCCTCGTCCACTGTGCGTGTGGGAGGTGCTCTGCCAGGAGGTTTGGTGGCAGAAACAGACAAACTGCTGGGGAATGGTTCATTCACTGACGACTTTGACAACAATCATTAATCTGATGTGTCACCTACTTCCAGAAAGGATTTTAGTAATAGATTTAAACTCCCAGGCCTTATTACAATGACTGATTGAACATTTACTGATAATAATAGAAAAAAACCCAAACAGTTGTCTACGCATGCTCAGAAACTGGAAAGTTATCTTAATAAAGGATTATCACCAGGGCTAGAAAGGCCTTTGGGGTGGGGGATGTGTGTGGCGGAGCGGGTGCGGGTCTCACACTGAATTCCTGAATGTGGGACCAGTGCTGGGGTGAATGTACTAGAATGTCTGGGGATTGTAAAGAAAAAGACATTTTGGGTCAAGCCTGGAGATTAAAATCCAGTCATTCGCAGGGAACTCACAGGAATTGCATGTTTTTTTTTTTTTTTTTTTGTCTTTGTTTTTCAAATTCCCCACCCTCTGGAGGCAGTACTTTGTAGCCCTGTCTGATGTCACTCATCTCTGCCATTTTGAGAAGAACAAAGTTTACATGGCACCTGGGCCAATGAGACACTCCTCCCTTGCAGCTTCCCTCCAAAGGGGGTTTCCCAGTCGCCTCTGGGTGCCTGTTCTAACATTAAACCACCATCACAGCAATGCAGGTCCACTGACTGCCATTCTTGCCTGTTGGGCTCCCTGCTCTTCCCCAGCTGAAGCCCCAGTCTCTGTTTCCACAGGAACCAGAACATGTCCCTCTGGCCCAGTTGGGAAGCCCAAGGCCAGGGTCTGTTGTCCCATGGCCACTTACCTCAAAGGTGACTGGAGGGATGAGGGAACGCCGGTGGGGGGACTCAGGACCCTCGTGCAGCAGGGCCTTGACCTGTGGGCAGCAGCGTTAGAGACAGAGGGTCAAGAGGGCACCGAGCCTGTGCATCTGGACATTCTCCATTCAAAGAGGGGACCAAAGAGAAGCCAAGAGAAGCTGCAGGAGCCCCACAAGTACCTTGTCTTCAATAGAGGACAACAGGCTTGTCAGTTGGCTGAGCTTGGACACCATGTTGATGGGATTGGCCTCACCTGGAGCCTGGGAGAGGAGGGAAAGAGGATCAGGGCAGCATCACTGACCTGAACCATTGAGAGGCAACGCACTGGACGCTCTCCGCACCTCGCCCCATTCCAGCCTCCCCGCAGCCCCACCAGTGCTATTATTATTACCCCCGGCAGATGAGGACACAGGGATCTCTACAATCATCTCAAAATTCCCATGGCCAAAAAATAGATCTTCATCTCTTCTTCCCTCTAAATCTGCCTCTCCCCCGGTGCTTCTCACCTCACCCACTCCATTGCTTAAACAAAACTCGAGGACTGTCTTTGTATATTACCTTTCCTCCCTCCTACACCTCCTGCATTGTGTTCCCATCCTACTTCCAAAATAGACCCAGCCCTGCTGCTTGAAACCCCAGTCCAGCTCTTCCCCACTGAGAGGAGAAAATGATCACAACTCCTTCCCTGCCCTCCAAGGTTCTGTATGATGCAGCCCCCCTCCTGTGATCCAAGCCACTCTCATCCTCAAGTCAGATCTGCCATGAGCTTCCCTTCTGAGGCATCTCCAGAGACTTGATTTCCCCTGGGAGGGGCACCTCCCAGTTACTCAGGTCTCAGCCCCACAAAGAGTCTTCCCTGACCACCCTGTCTAAAATAGCCACCAGGTTACCTATATCAAGTTGCCCTGTTTTGTTTCATGTCAATCACCACCAGCTAAAGTTAGCTCCTTCTAATATGTGTTCATTGAATGTCTTCCCCGCTGAATGGAGGCTCCATGAGAATGGAGACCAAGAGGACTGTATTCAGTGCTGCAAGCTTGGGGCTCAGAACACTGTCTGGCCAATGAAGAAGCTCAGTAAAGTTGTTCCGTAAATACATAGAGCCCAGAGAGATGAACTAACTTGTCTGAGGTCGCACAGGTAGCAAATGGCAGGGCAGGACACGTGTATCCTATCTACCTGATGCCAAGTGCATGGTCTCATGCACTTATTCACAGAAGAGACACTTACAAAGCATCTATTCTATATTAGACATGCTGCCAGGTATGGAAATGTAGAGTTAATAAAATACCATTCTTACCCTTCAGAGGTGGAATGAGAAAATCAGACACAAGTATGACTAATGTGAACACAAAGCAGAATGGAACCACAGTTATCACCAGCCAGGTGGTGTTCCTTTACCTTACCCTTGCTCAATATAGCAGCCAGGCTGCACTTGCTCTTGCTCTCAATTCTCAACCCAGCTACTTTAGTATACTACTTTTACTATCGTCACCTCCATTACCACGCCTGCCTCTGTCACAGTGATCAATGGCATTGCCATGATCTACAGCATCCCCTTCAAAAGTACTACCAGAGTCATCAGCATGGTCATCCCAATCACCAACAATACAGCCATCACCACCACCGTCTCCACCCCATCACTCCCACCGTGATCAT